TGGAGTAGTCAATATATTTAATTTTCTTTGGTTTGCGGGCTTCAATAGTAGAAGTTTTGCGTTTCTTGGGAACAAGGACAGTTGCCCCTGTTCTGGTACTGTTTTTGAAGAAAAGCAAACTCTTTAATAGATTAATTTTGTCTTCCTTAAATTACTCTCAACCCTAAACGCAGGTGGTCAGGAGAGAGAGATCATCGATCTTTTTTAAAAAAAAAAATAATAATTTAAAGATTGTATAGTTGAGTAAAGTTGATAAGAGTATACCAAAATATAAAATATAAAGTATTAGTAATAGACAAAATATATAGTGATTTTTCAAACTATTATATTTAAAAATAACAGATTGCAAATTTGTAAAAATACAAATAATGCCAATTCTAGATGCAGTACTAATTGCTGATAGTATAACAACAAGTTCTGCTTTAAAAAAACATAATCAGTACTTAATTTGTGATTGAAATTTGTATAATATATTATTTTGATAAATTTATATCTATTCAATACCTATAGAGCAGTCTGGTATATCAAAATTTAAAACAAAACTATTAGTATAAAAAATAATTTTAGGAAGTTGAGTATTAGAGTTGACAATAGTTTAAAGAGTATTAGTAAGAGGTTTAAATTCAAATATAGATAAAATTAAAGCAGTATTATAGAAAATATTAGAAATAGGTGAAATATAAAAAGAGTAATAAATAGCAATAAAGTATATTAAATCTAAATAGTTAGCATAAAGTTTAATAGTTTTTCTTGAGAGTTGTAAGTACAGTAATTAAAATAGTTTTTATCTATCTAAATATATTTGTTACTAATTATTTATAGGATATTTATATTTTCACTTAGGTTAATTTAACCTGTTATATGATACGGGTTTCGGCGGCTTGAAAATGTACCAGAAATATTTTCATGTTAAATCATGTGACCGCTATTCGTATTACTCAAGTCACATGACCCCTATTGCATATACAGTATGTACGTATCTTCAAAAAAAGGTATGGAAATACAAATGTGTAGAAATTAAGATACTGTAGTACATATAGCTTGTACACAAAAGAGAAAATTTGGCAAACCTAAGTTACCTTTTCTACTAATTCTAATATGAATTTGCAAGTTTATATTAATCATATGTACTATCAAAATTTAGTATGTATAATTTTCATATGTTTATCCAAATTTGTACTGGTATATATTACTACTTTACTGAATACTTGCAGAAAAAAATTTAATTAAAAGGATAGATATATATGTATGTACGTATATAATTATATAATTCAAATACAATATATACTTTATATTTAGGATTGATTAGTTCAAATTGCTATAAAACTTAATTCAAGCACTAAACTTGGATCTTTTAAAGCATTAAATTTAAGCTTCTTATAGGCTTTTAAACTTATTTAAAAAAATTAATACTTCATTAAAATTTATATTGGTGATATATTAAATTTAAAAAAATGTAAACCTTAATTTGCTAAGAAAGATATCATTTGCATTAAACAAAACAATTTAAGATAGAAAATATTTGATATTATAAAAAAAAAAAAAACAAAGTTGTATTCTAATAATACTCTAGCTATTTGCTTGGATAGTTTCGAGAGTTGTGTCTAGCGCTATTACAAATACTGCACATGTATATTTTTTTAGTAGCATGCTCAGCACCTGGTTGTTTATGCTTAGTGCTACTTGGTCTTCTCTTTGTCTTCACATTCATAGGATCTTCAATGTCTTCTTGCAATAAAGGAAATTTATGATTTAAATATTCTACAAAATGTACTAAAGTATTATTAATTTTAACATGTTCTACTTTATTAAAGATTGATCCAATATCTTTAAATAAATCCTCAGTGCTTCTAGTAGCTATTTGTTGATTGATGAATATATCATAAATACTATGATTAACATTTGAAAAATTAGCTAACAATCTATTACTGGCAGAAGATGAGAATTCAGTTGTAGATTCTATAGATTCTGTAGAATTATGTTCTTCATTACTGGTGGAAGATGAGAATTCAGTTGTAGATTCCATAGATTCTGTAGAATTATGTTCTTCAAACTGAGACATATCAGCATCAATATTAAATCTTGCTGGTGTAATAATCTAACAACTACCAATATATTCAATACTTATACTCTTCTTATTAATAATATAGATAGCCAAAATATAATGACATAGTAAATAAAATTGCATGCCATAATCACAGCAATATGTATATTCAGTATCAGTCTGGTATATTGTATACTTATAATCTTTGTTATGATAGATTTGAAACAAATTATCTTCTTATTTTTCAACATCATAAGAGACAGCCAAATTATATTGCTCCAATAATGAAGAATATACAAAGTCTGAGACAACTCTTGAAACATTTTGTAATAATTTAGAATATTGTAAATGAATACTCCCATGTAAACGATATTGTTGATATTGAGAATGTTGTAGTTGGTAATGACTTAACTTCTCTAGTGCAATGATTAATTTGGGTAAAGGTACTGTATGACCCAATAGATGTTTTAAATATGCATTGCTAGATTTTGACTACTGTGTCATTCGAATTCCATAATTAATATTTTTATTAGTATAACAATATGCCCACATATAAACAAAAGGTTTTCACTTGTTCTATCATGTAACTGCTTGCTTCCAGATATTCAACTAACAACTGATCCCATAAAATATCAAATTGTATTTTAACAGATTCAAATATTAATATTTTAAAATCTTTGATAAATGGAATAAACTTGTCTTTAAGCTTACTGTTTAGGTTTTTAATAAGATTTTGTTCTATGTGCCAAATACATAACTAGTGTTTGACATGTGATGCCTTAGTTCAAACTGCAGAGATAAATGCAAGATCTCTGTCAGTTAAAAGTGTTCATATACTATGAAAAGTTATATCACCTATAAATTGCTTTAATTGACGAATTATCTAGCAAAAGCTTGATATGGTTTCATTTGCAAGAAGCCACTTGCAACAAGAAATATGATACTCATTGCATCAACACCATGAATAAGAAGAAGAGGCATCCCAAAATAGTTTGTTTTGTATATTAAATCAGCTAATAAAATCTCCGGATAATGTTTAAATTTTAAAATTGCGAAATGAGTAATAAAAAAGAGACAATGAAGTTTGCTATTGTTAACAAAGTAAGCGAATAAATATTCATCATTGTTATTTAAACTGTTTAACAATTTTGCAGTCTGCGATAAACCTTTTACATAATTGCAAGATCGATGATTTAGTATATTATACACATCTTTATTATATATATATCTATTATATTCTTTAGTTAATAAGTTTACAATAGTTGGAACTGGTATATCACCATTATAAAGCATTCATACATGCATACTTTTACTATTACTTAATTTACAGTGATCAGAATCAAACATAACTATAGCTATATCCAAAGAATGGTTGTGTTTAAGTTCAACGCTCTTTACATGATATTCAACTTTTGCCCAGTGAATGACTACCTTCCATGAATAGCTAATAGCAACACTTTTGGTTTTTCTCAATCCAGTACTTTTGTTACTTGGAGCTCCAGCATGATGACAAACAATTTCTGCTCTAGTAAGAAAACCCAAATGTTTTTCTGTATGATATAGTCTAGTAGCGAAATTATATTTTATTGCGTAAGCATTAATATATTGCTCAATATCCAACTATTCAGTAAAAGTTTGGCCAACTTTTATTGTAATTGAATTATCATCAACTAGATTCATTTTAAATGTTTCATTATCATTATTGCCAAAACTATTGTTGAGATCATGAGAATCAAAGTCTACATCAAGATTATTATCAAGATTTGTATTTAAACTAGTATCTTCTAAAATAAGCGATCGTTTAACATTCATTTTTTACAAAGCAGTAGCAAATTTTGGAGTATAAAAAAGCAGATATGAATAGGTATAGCTGATAACTAAATATACTAATCAAAAAAGAATCAAGTTGATTAGTAATACAATAAGCTTGCAATGTTAAATTAGTAAATGTGAGTTTAATAGTTCGAATAAACCTTTTTCGTGTACTAGAAAACATAGACACGTGATAACTGAAAAATGGTTTGAAGTTTAAATATTTAAGGCTGGCAATTAAATTGAAATTATATGTAGATGTTTTATGGTATAAAATAGCTTAAGAAATATTTTTTATTAGAGTTCAAAAGACAATTTCTTATGTAAACTTTTGAGAAATAAGCTTTTTTTTTAAAAAAAAGTTGATCATATTGATCGTTACTATGCCTAGCAATTTAATTTTGTAAAAAATCAAGTATATATACATTATGTTGAAACTTCATTTATATTGCAGTCTGGGAATATACCAAATTTGGTCATTGATGATCTTACCTTATTTGGTAAATGATCATTAGTCGGATGATTCTAGATTTCATGGCACATGAACATGAACCAATC